CCCCCCTCTCCTCTTTATCTCCCCTTGAATTCAGAAGCATAATACACCGTGAGCACCAATAATTGATGTATGTTATAATTCTTCATTACCCTATCAGTGGTCTGGGAAAATCAGAAGAAAAGAAAATGCCAGAAAGTTATGGTAAAACTTAAGATGCGACAGAAGTAGCTTTCTTTGCTCATGCTGTGAGTGTTTGAATAAGAAGAATGTCCCTGCACTGTAACAAGCTAAAAGAATGAGGAAGACAAAGGATTTCACGAAAAAGGTTTAGATAGAAGACAAGGCAAGTGAAACTGAAAGGAAGGGAAAAAAACCATTTACAATGGAACAATGCGTGTACTAATCGCTTTGATATATTATACAAACCCAAAGACCCAAAACATTGTGTAATTATTTATAAATGACTTCTCCACTCCTGTGTATAATACCACAGAAAGAATAAAACTGCAGGCTACTCTCTAAACTATTTCTAAATAGACCTAGCTCAAAAGGAAGCAGAAGTGTTTGAAAAAAAATAATTAATGGTTGATTTTATGGTTGTCTCATTAAAACATTTTAATTACAACAAACAAAATACATTTGTGCTTGCAGGGAACAATCGTTTACCTACTCAACACCCCCCCCTTTCCAAAAAGAAGGAAAATCTTACATCACACATTTAAAACCTGAAAATAAAACATTCTCTCTATTTCTGCAGAGCCTCCAGGAGGGGTTGAGCCCTGACTGCAACTCCCAGGCACTTGTGCAGGATTTTGGAGAGGATTTGGCTCCCCAGGGCCAGGATCCCCCGGTACATGGGGACTCCCTGTGATGTCCTTGTGCTCCCCACCCGTGAGTGGCCCCCAGCACATGGCCTGAGGTCTCACCCTGGCCACGGGTAAGTAGGAGAGGAGGCCAAATCCTTCAGAGACAAAGCCCTTGAGCTGCTCCCGAGGGGTTTCCCCAGCAGGAGAGCCGGCTCCTGCTCCAGAAGGGTTAACGCTGCCTCCCTGCGGGCTGAGAGCCCTTCCAAATATTGGGCTTCCAGGGCTGGCCATCAGTCAGCAGCCACAGGACCAAGCCCTGAGCCCTCTGAGAGCCTCTGTAAGGTGACTCCAGCCAGGTGAGGAGCCCCAGGAGCAGAGCTCCATCTGTCCATCCCTGCCCTCGCAGCCCTCACCACACGTCTGTCCCACCCAGGCTGGACAAGAAGTCTCTGTGCTCTGCACCATGTCCAGACCTGGGGTCTGCCCCACTGAACAGTCTTCTAGTTTCCTACCTGTCCTTAAAATTCCTGCTGCATCAACCTGGCCATGCCCAGGGATGAGTGAGCTCGATCCTTCCTTTCCTCCTGCGAGGTCAAACTTTCTGCTCCCAGGTGGTGGTTTTGCCACCAGCCACCTCACCTCTCTAAATTTAGCTCAATTATCCTCCACAGGCAGCTCTGCCTTCCTTTTCTTGCCATACTTTCAAATATGAAAGAGCAAAAAAGCAATGTTCTCCTGGTTGATGCATTGTTTTGATACTCATCCCAACATGAGTTCAAGCCCTCATGTGCTAATGTAACAAAAGATAGAGTTTGGTGAGTTGCTGCAATGATGTGCATCTTAAGACCTGGGGAAAAAAAAAAAAAAATTATGTTCCTCTGACTTCTCTGAGGCATCTCCCAACTGAGGGAGTAGTTTTACTGTGAACCACTCATTTCCAATCTTGGAGAGAAGAGTGATGCTAACACTGCTCTAATGATCATAATTCTGATTGTTTTTGAAATGAGAGGCTGATTTCTAACATGGAGATTTATTTACCTTTACAAGGTCCAGCAAACACTTACCAGGGAATGGCATCTTCTCATCGACTGGCTTTTTCCATGAAGGAAACAGTGCAGTGCCAGGCACCTGGGAGCACATTTTCTCCAAAAGCCCTTCCTCCACCTTTGTTCATGAATTCCTACTTTTTCTGGAGTCCACCCATGATGTCTCTACATGAGGGCAGAGGAACGAGCTTCATGCTCGAGGTCTCACAAGTGTTAAATCAGGTTGAATCTTTTTTCCTCTCATTTTTTGAAGTGCTGTAAGGTGTCTCAAAGCAAATGATAAAGCATTTCCTTAGAGCTCCAATTATGAAACTAATAACATCCCTGAGCCCAGCTGCACTTACAGCAAGGTGGAAAAGTTAACATCAAAGGCTAAAACTCAGAATAAGGCCATCAGTGAGATGCTGGGAACACACTCTGTGTTCCTTGAAATCAACGGTCCTGTTCCATTTTGGAATCTTTTTCTTTCCCAATCCCAGGAAACTTCAGGAAACTTCAGCAGCTGACTTCCACAGGGGCAGGCCCATAAGGTGTAAGAGCTATTATCTGTGTTGGTTGAATAATTTATCTGCAAAATTAGTAGACTGCCCCCGCCATAGAACTGGTTGAATTATTCATCGGGAATAAATTATCCAAGATATTTAGCACTTCTTTCTGTTTGCGAAGGCTTCCTGAAACAATTCTGGTTCTGTGAATGCATTCGTTATTCATAAGTACGGAGTGAATAGATTATGCAAACAAATTTCAGCCTATGGGTTGTTTGTGAAACGTTCACTTCAGGCCTGGCTATTCATGGCTGTGACTGATCACGGAGACACATGGTGCTCTCTCCCCTCCTTGATTGGAGCACAAACTTTTAAAACAAGAGAATAACAAATGACAAACTGCAAATGATGGATAAGGACTAATGAATAATGGGCTTTCACTGCAAACTTTCAGACAAGTGATGGGTTGTGCCAAAGTCTGTGAAACTCTGGGGAATCATAAACATTTTAATGAATAAACTATTGACTGCTCAAAGACACCTAAACAAAAGACAATCAAAGTGTGGCAGACAACACCGGAGTTTATCTCACTGTATACAAAGTGCACAGTAACAAAAGTTGAACATTTTTTGCCATATGCTTCCATAACCTTTAAATTTTGGTCCCTTCTTTCTCTTGGTCCGTGCTGAAAACTCCAGGGCCGATCTCTGCCTGCCAGCCAAGGCCTCTAATTGTGCCGTCACTTAAGGACATGAGGAGCTCAGTGAAGTGGAACTACTTAGCGAAGAAAGTCATTTATGTATGCAAAGGCCCTAAAAACTTCAGCCTGATTGCAGGTCTGGTGATTGAGAGAGCCCAGTCCCTGCCGGGAACAGCCAGGCCCCCGTCGCAGGGCCTTACTTGGCTATGTTGCACACCCAAGCATATAAAGATGTTAAAAAGCAGAAAGAGAGCTGATCCTGAAAGCTCACGGTGCTGGCAAACTACTTCTAGTTTGAGGCTCGTTAATATTCATCACCCAGGGCTTTTTGGATTGCTCACTTCTGTGCGTGATCTTCTGGGCACAAAGAAGGTTGTTTGGGGCAGTTTGCTGGTGTCGTGGGTCATCTCAAAGCCAGGAGGGTGGGAAGCAGAGGGAATAACTTTGATAGCAAACTCCTCGCACAAGTTGAAGCAAAGAATGGTTGCTGTGAACTCAAAATACACAATAATTCACGCTGTCAATTTTCCCTGTTTATCCAGGGCATAGGAGGAAATCAAAGGAGGGGGAATCAATCTACATTTGGTGAAAGGGGGAATCATGTAAATACATGTGAGTTTAGGCACAGGCACCTGAAAATGGCTACTGATGGGTGATGAAACTGAAAACCTTCCAGGGAGGCAAGTACCTGAGTGCTGACAATGGGGTTTCCTCGCAGCACCGAGGGCAGGATGCAAAGAGCCAGACGTCAGAATTAGGAAACTTTTTAGCCACTTAAAAAAACTGTGGCTTCCCAAAGTGTGAAGTGGTGATAGCCAGGCATTGAACGGGGATTAGCAGAGGCAGCAAGAACTTTACAATCAAAACAGCACCCTTCTTTGTTTTTATCCAGAAAAAGAAGAATGTTATCATTTCACATGCATTGTGTATATATGTGTGTGTGTTTACACAATGTACATGTATTATAAATACAACCACCGAAGTTTATAAAACAAATGTCCTTCGGAACTTTCAACTTTCTGAACACCTGCAAACCCCTTTTCAACGTGAAGCCCGCAAAACCCAAACCGCGTGTCCACAGTCACCTCAGAAACGCAGGAGCCAAAAACACCTGCTTTTGAGTTTTATCATCTCAGAGCATTTTCACTTAGAAAAAAAAAAAAAAAAACAAATCCACAAGGTGCAGTGAAAACTTGACGAATATCTTCCACCCAGCATCTGGCTGGGGAACAACCCACGGCTCATCCTCTGGAAGTCAGGATTAACTTTTATTTATTTTTTTTTCCCCCCAAGCCCCCTGCTCGCAGCGGTTTAAGCTCACGCCGGAGTCCCCGCGGCCGGAGCGGGTCGGTGACCCCTCCACCCCCCTGCCCCGCTTTGTGCTGCCCGCACAGGGGGGGGGACAAAGCGGTGGGGACACCCCCTCCCCCTCTCTCCCCGTCCCCGGGGAGCGCGGCAGATGCGCGGCCGCCCGCGGTAATTGCGGGCACGCTCCGGAGGGCGCGGCGCACGGGGCCGACCTGCCGCCTCGGCGCGGCCCCGCGGGGCGGCCACGGGGCCATTGTCCGCCCGCCGCTATAAGAACGGGCGGCCGCGCCGTCGTGTGCCAAAGCCGCCGCTCACACGAGCGGATCGCAGCCCGCAGCACTTCAAAGCCACGCGCGGTCGCGTGTCCCCCCCGCCCCGCCTTTCCCCGGGCTTTGGCTCTTTTTTTTTTTTTCCTTCTTCTCTTTTTTTTTTTTTCCCTTCGGCGCTGAGTCCCCTCTGCCTCCCCCTGCAGCGGCTTTTTCCTCTCTGTGTTTTTTTATACCGTTATCTCTTAACATCATCCCCGGGAGTGCCTTTCCATGTGAGTACGGGAGCGCCGGCACCTGCCAAGCACTCGCACCGCCACCCCCTTAGTTATATTTATTTTTTTCCTTTCCCCCTCCCCACCCCACCCCCTTCCCCGGCATCTTCGCACCTTCCCCCCTCTCGCTCCCCGTCCGTCCTTCCCGCAGTGACGGCGCTTCTCTCCCGCAGGATGCCCGCCGAGGCGGCCGGCAGCGGCGAGGGCGCGGACGCGGGCGCTCCGCGGGAGCGGCGGAGGCGGCGGGGCCGTGCGCGGGCGCGGACCGAGGCGCTGCTGCACACGCTGAAGCGCAGCCGGCGGGTCAAGGCCAACGACCGCGAGCGGAACCGCATGCACCACCTCAACGCCGCGCTGGACGAGCTCCGCAGCGTCCTGCCCACCTTCCCCGACGACACCAAGCTCACCAAGATCGAGACCCTGCGCTTCGCCTACAACTACATCTGGGCGCTGTCCGAGACCCTCCGCCTGGCCGAGCAGTGCCTCCCCACCCCCGGCCCGTTCCGCGGGGCCGCCGCGCCCCCCAGCCCCGGCAGCGACGCGGGGTCGTGGCTGTCCAGCGCCTCGCCGTCCGCCCCCTCGCTCTGCGCCTCCAACTCGGGCCCCAGCAGCCCGGCCACCTCCGAGGACTGCGCTTACCCCCCAGCCGACAGCCTGCGGGGGTTCCGCGGGCTGCCCGCGGCCCCGGGCGCGCCCCTCCGCTAGCGCGCATCTCCCGCGCCCCCCGCCCGCGCCCCCGGCCGAGCAGGAGGGACGGCCGGGGGGGCCTCGTCCCGTTGCACTTTTCATCACTCCACCCCCCGCCCCAGCCCCAGCCCCTTCCCCCCGACCCCCGCCTCGCCTCCCGCGCCGCTCCGAAAAAACGGGCAGAGAAGAAAAGCGACAGATTTGCTGCCGCAGACGAGGTGAAAAGTCAATTTTACAATTTGTAGCTCTCCAGCGAAGAAAAACGAGCATGAAAATTTGGTTTGAACGCCCTGACAATGCCATGAAAAGGCTTAAGGGGCCGATGCGGCCCGGGGCGCAGCGCGGGGCTCAGCGCGTCCCCCCGGCCCTGCCCCGGGGCGGCTCAGCCCCTCCCGGGGGTCCCAGCACCGGCCCCGATGGGACCCCGCACCCGGCGGACAGCGGAGGGGCTCATGCATTATAGATGCTGACCCCCAGCGCGGCCGGGCTGCTTCAGAGTGGGAGCAGACACGGGGTATTCAGCGACTGGACCAGAGAGCGGGTTAATTTATTCAAGATGTTCATTCATATGAAAATTGTATTTTTGTACATAAAGAGCTTTATTCTATTATTATACCTCTTATCAAAGTGGGGGTTTTGTTTTTGTTTTGTTTTTAAGAAATCGTGCTTTTACCCTGTAAATAAAATTTTTAACGTTTGTACTGAATTTCAGCAGCGCCTCTGGAGTTTTGTTTCTCCTCAGGAGGAGAATGGGATGGAAGGGAAGGGGTCACCCCAAAGCAGCAGCCAGCACTCCTGACACCCTGCTGGCCACAGACACACGTGGCTACCTGCAAACATCAGCTGGCCCCCAGGTCTCACAGAGAAGGGATTAGAGCCCTGTTCAGGACTTGTGGGCAGAGCACAGGAGCAGTGGTGACACAGCACTGCTGGTGTTCAGGGCTGTCCTTGCCCTGGTTCATAGCAGGAGCTGGAAGGTTCTGAGGGATTTGGGGCAAGGAGAAGGTGCTGCTCCCCTGAACAGGTTGCAGAGCTCGTGGTTTTGCCTGAACCTGCAACACTGGCAGAACTTGGCCTGGCCTGAGCTGCCCCCTGTCCTCAAGCCCCAGGGTGGGATGGATCCTCTCCCCACTCACACCCATGCAGGGAGAGGAGAAAGGGTGGCCAAAGGTGCATCTCGTGGCCTCAGCACCAGCTCTGGCACAGCTCTGGCTCTCAGCTGGAGAACTGGGGGAGTCAAGAGGTCCATCCCGTCCAGGAAATCTGCTCCACTGTTGCAAAATCCCAAACCTTCCCTTCTGCTGTACTTGTGTGTAATGGGGGAGCCCTCTGACCCCCAAAATCCCACCTTGCTGAAGGGCTTCTGCTGTTCCTGCCTCCATCCTCCCCCTCTTTAGCATTGCTCAATGCTCCCCTGTTACACTGGGCACACAGACACCCTCAAAAGCAACATTTTTATCCTCTTTGCTCTGTTTTATGGGGGAAATGAGGCAGCTCAGCCATGTCCCTACAACCACCTCCAAAACATGGGTGAGTGGGAGCTGTATGGGCAGTTATCAGGGTGTTTGTGGGGAAAGAAGATGGATGTGTGGATAGATGGTGTTGTACAAGCCCAAATAAGTCAGTTCCTACACATCCCTGATGGGACAGCCCAGGATCAGCAGAATTAATTGAGTTTCATTTCTCTATGCCTCAGTTTCCCATCTTTAATTGGGTTACCACCATCCCCTCGCATCACCAGCGAATTTAATGATTTAATTAAGCAGAGCTTTCAGAGCACTCAGATTCTCAGGGCTGCTGTAAAAGGCCAAGAAGGAATTCTTCAGGACGTGATCGTGCACTGTGCAGGGGAAAAGGCAAAGTGCAGACACTGAAAGCATCAGACAAAGCACTGAGAAGCTGTTCATCACGCAGGCAAAATCTCTGCCTGAAAGTTAATCCTCCTGTGTAATGAAGAAGGTGGAGATATCATCAAAAACATAATTTGGGATCATATAATTGCAGCAAAAAGAGAAGGAGAGGAGCTTAATTAAGTTTGCAGAGACACTTCAGTGTCGGTGTTTCCTCCTTTCCGAGTGCCTGAGCCTGCAATACGGATATATATTTCTTTAACACAGTTTTCATGTTGCTTTTCTATACAGACACACACCCACCTCTGTTTCTCAGTGCCTACAATCACTGAAAAGGAAATGTTATTGTTTGGAAACCTTAATAGCAGCGTAATACTTATATTAATTAAAGACACCATCCAGCAGTATAGGGCAGTCCCTTAATGATGTCCTGGTAAATAAAAGAGATTTGTGAAATCTAATTCTGGCAGTAACAGGTCTTGATCTGTGACGCAGTGAAGCTTTGCTTGCACCTGCCCTTGAAAGCCAGGAGGTTTTGTGTGCAGGAGCCTCCAGGGGCTGAAATTTAGTACAGTCCATGGAGGCGGAAGGTCATCTAAAGTCACTGGGTCCCAAGACACTGGACTTCAATCTCAAAGAAAAAAAAAAAAAAAAAAACAACCACTCCACAAAACTTCAAAATATCCTCTATTCTTTTGTGTTCTCTTAGCTGCCAGCAGAGATCTGGGGACATTATGCAGTGTATAAAGACCATACATCTACCAGGGCCCAGTGTATGATGGTAACGTTCCTAATGGGCAATGAAAGCTGCAAACTGCGGGGGGATACAATTAGATTCATACATTAACATGAGTCAGGGAACAGTTTTTCCCCCGAGCAGTGATAGGTTCAGACATAGTTGAACAAATCTGCCGCTGGGACAGATGGAATGCCCGTATTCAGAGGCTGCAGGACCAACCTGCACCCCGTTTACAACAAGGGGGGTTGTATTTACTGCTATCAAAAGAATGCTTTGGTGAATGGGAACAGGCTTCCCCAGCTCTAAAAGGGTGGCTTTATTTTTTTTTTTAATTGCATTAAAAATCATCTCCTTGCACTGCTACAGGGGAAAAAAATGGATGAATTGAATACTAGGGCTGATGAAATCATGGGCAAGTTCTTTGGAAATACCATATATATAAAAGCCATATATAAAAATGTTCCTATCTAGAAATATCTATATAAAGATATATAATATATATATAAAGATATATAAAAATATCCAAATATAAAAGATCTGAATATAAACTACCTGTATATATTCATACCCATGGTAAAAAATACCCATAAAGAGCCACCAGTCACCAGTCTCAGTCCCACTGAAACCAGGGGCAAGACCCTCACTGACTTGAGAAATAACTGAAATAGGTGGGTTTTTAGTCTTGGCACCACATTGTATGAGTGTATATGCATTTTTTCCTGTGTCTGCTGGTAGGTGTTGGTAATCCTTTATCCCTGCTGCATCCAGTCTGTCACCTCCGGGGCATGCAAGAATTAGGGACCCTCTGCCAGGAGGACCTGCAAGTCCTCAGGTCTCTCTTAATTCCCCTTTAGTGAGGAGAGAAAGTGTGAGATGGCTCCATTGATAGGGAATCCCTGCTAGCTGGGAATGTGCTTCAAAACACAACTGGGATTATCCCACTTTCTCTCTGCTGAGACTTCCCGTGGGGAAACAATCCACTACCAGCTACAAGTTGCTCTTGTGCTCTGCTGACAGGGCCCACAGCAGCTGGAGCTACCCTGTTCCAACCCTTTCCAGTGGATTGGAAGCTCTGGAGGGTCTCTGTGAGTTACCTGGGCTCAAAAAGTGAGCTGCAAGATCCAAAATTCTGCGCAGGTTTTAGATAACAAGTATTTTCTACTATTTCGATGCCATGTGGTGCCCTATTTAGTGTCACCCCTGCTGTGGTGGGGCTCAAATGATGTTTAGTTATTAACAAGAGCATCCTCAGAAGGATTTTCATTACTGGGTGTCAGTCTGTTGCAGATTTTGATTTTACTCTGCACATGATCTGTAAAATACAGTCTGTGCCACTACCTCTGAGCACATGAAACTCAATACCATAATTATAGATCTCTGGGGCTCAAATGCTCCATTAAGACTGATTTGTATAGTAGGTAGAGATTATCAGAGCAGAAGCAGGTGAGAACTAATTTTCAGGAGATTTTTATTGGTGGCATGTGCAATTAAAAGAAATCACCAGGAGGAGCAGAGCTGCTGAAGACCCAGCGGATTTACTGAGGACTGCAGTGAGCACAACAAGAGATGCAAAAACAATGCATAAAATACTTTGCCTAACTCTTACTTTTATAGTCTTCACATAACACTCCTAGAGGCTTTTTAAATTTAGATTAGCAAATTAACTGACTGATTAAAACCAGTTTTATGCCTGGTAGCCCAGTGATAGTGCCCGTGAACAACTAATCCCTGTTCTCTCTTCCTCCCCAGCCAAAAGGCGTCGTGGCCAATATGAAAACCTGCTGGAGGTCCCACAGATGTTTTGGAGACGTGGTGAAGTAACAGACCCTTTTCAAAAACCCTGTGGGACCCAGCGCTGTTATTAATCCCCAGGGCAATGAGGAGTGTGAGGCTGAGCTGAGGGGGTGAAGAGCCCCCCTGGAAACAGGATTTTCCCCCCTGCTGAGGTCACTGTCCTCCGGGCAGGGATGGCAGGGGCTCCACGTGGGGCCCTGCTGGTGCAGATCAAGGCTCCTCACGCCGAGCGCTGCTCCTCTTTCATCATCGTTATTATTTTCCAGTTGTCACTCTTCCAGTTCGAGATCTACCAGACAAGAGTGAAAAGACTCTTCCCAGTGGATAATGCTCTTCTCTGCCGGCGTGGAAATGCTGATGGCACAGCACTCCTTGTCATTCAGGTCTCCCACTTCTGCCTCCCGCTGGCTGTGCAGCAGCGTCTGTTAAACCCCCCATGGCACCGATGGAAACTCTCATGGAACTCTGATTGCTTGAAAAAGAAACATCACATTAGAGAGGCTGAGGCAGAGGTGCCATCCTTGTCTGTGCCATGGGCAAGGCTCCACAGGTACAAGAAATGCTTCCTGCTTGGCTCCTCCCCCATTGGATTTACTCACTGGTTTCCAGTAGGACCTTGGCAAGGGCCAGTAGGA